AAATGAAGAGGCGGTAAACAAAAATGCTAGTGAACCTCCGTTTGTCGCGTCGCGCCAAATTTTAAAAGTTTCGTTCGTACACTTTCGATCATATTCGTGGCGTTGCCTCCGTGTGATCCGCAGACGCTTGTGATTATTATGCATTATTTGTGTCCCAGATACTTTTGGTGACGATGGTACATAAGCAGTAATTTTGCCTTTGGATAGGTATTCAGTTTGATAGTAACTCTACTCAATTAAGTTGGCAGACGGGAGAAAATTGCAATTTAACAATCATATGTGCAACTTATGTAACTTATTGCGGTTTCTGCCATATTGAAAATATGCATATTCTCATAACTAGAGTCCGCGTCAGCAGTAAAGACTACGGTGACGACAGGGAAAGCTGCGCGAAGCGGGTCCGATATCTCTACCTCGTCTATCTTTCGCTGTCTGCCGTGACCTCGGCCGTGAGCTGAAATCAGCAGCGGGGTATCTTTTTAGACAAAATTTGGATAGAAAATAAACTAAATAAATATGCCTGCTGGCCGTACGACAATGAACCACGTGCTTGGCGTTCGGCAGCAGCACCGAACAATACGATAGTTCGGTTAGTCTTCAAAATTGGGTTTGTGCGCAATTGACGTCACCGTAGTCTTTACTCTTGACGCGGACTCTACATTTCACTTGACCAAATGACAGACGGGTTAAAAACGTTCATCATATAATAGATATTTATTTTATTAGGAGTATAAGTAATACTTATGTGACGCGCATGGAAGTTTGAACGCCGAGCGCAACGAGGCGAATCAAATCCATGCGAGTCTCATGAAGAATACTTATACTCACAATGAAATACAATATTTTATTTTCAAAGAATCTTTATTCCGAATAGTGCAGAATTTTTAATTTAAATTATGACTAGGCCGGCATCTCGGCCGGCATACACACACGTTATTTCGCGCGGTTTATCGTGGCATGTTAGGATGTAGCGGTTCGCACGCGCGAAAGAACGGCGTGGCAAAAAAAGCGTCATGTTCCATACACTGGACAAAGTATCCAAATGATTTAGCACCAATGCGCGCGGCATATCAGTTGGAAAGGAAAAACCGTATGTATATGGGTAAAAAGTGTCATTTATCGTGTCGTTTGGAAGTGCATGTTGTCAGGTACTAATTTTCAACGTGATAATGTGCGTTTTTATTCTCATCGGTGGCTTCACCGATGAATTAGCTATCTTTGTTTAGGGAATGGAAAATGACAATGACCGACATAGAATGGTGGATCCATCGGTAAAATTTGATGAGAATAAAAACGCAGGGATAGTTCGCTACGCGGCATTTATATCTCCGTACTAGCCTCAAAACCGTGACGTGGAATGGCATGTGGACACGGGTGTGAACTGCACTATCATGTACTTGAGTACTAACGTCACAATCCAGGTGAAAGCACGTCTGAAATCCCTTCCCATTCTTTCATTGCGTGCAGCCCTCCTCACTCACGCACATGATTTTTCAAAAGATGACACGATAAACCGCGCGAAAGAACGTGTTCTATGCCGGCCTATTCATATTTAGAAGGATCACGTCATTGCTTAAATCGCTATGGAAAAGCATGTGTAACGGCGTATAAATGTTGTACTCCGGCGAAGTATCACTTATACGCCGCTCAAGCTGAAAGTCATTGAAGTGACATTTATACCTTGTCAAAATGATCACTAAAATTACTATTATATGATGTGTGAAAATAATAGCATATTGTTGTATTAGGAGTAGAAGCTTTACTTTTTTGTGCTGAAGCAGTAGGTTTGCAAGCCGAACGTAGTGAGGCTTGCAATACTGCTGAAGCACAAAAAAGTGCTTCTACTCCGTATGCAACACGCTATTTTTTCTCCAAACGAATGGGGTAAGTTCGGGGGCAAGTGAATGGTTGAACGGCAGTAAAAGTACGAGCGGCACTAAAAGTACTTCTACTGCCGCCCCAGCGGCACTAAAAGTACTTTTGCTGCCGCTGGGGTTGCCTAGCAGCATAGAAATTAAATTTCTACCACCTCGACAGGTGTTAACCCGCTGGATTTGCCTAGCAGCATAGAAATCAAATTTCTGACATCTTGACAGGGGTTAACAAAGTGACGTTTTTCTGACGTTTGGAGAATAGTTATTTGTGTAGCAAGGCCGTGAAGTTGATCTTTTTTGGCCGAATCAGAAATTTGCGGCCGAGGCGCAGCCGAGGTCAAGCAAATTTCAGGTGAGGCCAAAAAAGATCATTCGGCCGAGGTGCACACAAAATTTTTTAGGCGAGTGTTTGTTCTTGAAAAAAGAATAAAATTCAACAGTAGCTTGAAACTTTATTGATCAAATAAATAAATCCAGCAAAGATAGGTAGATACACAATTATTAATAACAAAAACTACGGTAAAGAGAGTGTGATTATAGAAAAAATTGTTTATTTTCACCAAAGTAGCGGCCGTAAAGTAAAAGCGGCCGTGAAGTAAAAGCGGCCGTAAAGTAAAAGCGGCCGTAAAGTAATAAAGCAAATGCGGCCGTGAAGTGAATGCGGCCGTAAAGTAAATGCGGCCAAAAAAGATATACTTTAGGGATGATATTGAATCCGTAAAACTAATCTTTTTGTGACAGTCGCCTAAAAAAACACTTTTTGTCGCAATTTTGTTCATTGTTTATTAGGACTTGTACCAGTCTGCAATTTCTGCCAGTCAAAACTTAAGCTCTTGGTAGCAACTTATTTAATATAAATTAATGGCAGACGGGAAATAATTGCTCTCAAATTTGAAAAATTTTGACATTTTGAAAAATTAAAAATAAATATCTGTACCATTTCAATTTTTCTGCCGGTGTAAAGGTACATTATTTATCTAAAATCCATTGTAACAAAACATGTTTTAGGCGGGAAAAAATTGTTTCAACATCTCAGCATTTTGATACAACTTCAAAGATTGTTAAATATTATTATACCAAACGAGATTTTCTGCCATCTCTTGATTTATGTATTACATCCTAAATGTAACATAACTTTAATTTGGCAGACGGGAGGTCGTTGATCCACATGTCCGATTTTGGCGACATTTTAAAATTCCTAATATGACACTTTATACTAACCTAGGGTTTCCGCCGTTGAGCTTCCTTCTACTAATTTTTGTTTAAATTACCCTCACAATGTGTGGCAGACGGGTTAATATTGATCCAAATCTCCACTTTTCATTACATTTTCAAATTAGCATATCATTGTATTGTCACACGCGGGGCTCTTTGAAATTTCAGCCATTCCACTTCTTATTGCATAAAGAATAATCACCCTTAATGGCAGACGGGAGAAAATCGTTTTAAAAAAATGGTCGTTATGCACCGGTCTATGACTCCAGACAAAGTTTACTCCGGAGACCTTCGAAAGGGTGGCAAGTATTGATATAGGGCGGAAGTCAGATGGATCTTCGCAACACCTGATAATTCCCATGGTACATGGATGATTTTTGAATTTACTGAGTTTTGTCCATTTTTATAAAGAAATAAACCATAAACCAAAATTTCTATTTTTTTCTCAAAGTTTTACCTATCTAAGGTAAAAGCGGGACTAGCTGGAGCTAAGCTATCATTAACTCCCGCGCGAGAGTTAAGGATATCACAACTCCCGCTTTTACCTTGGCTAGGTAAAACTTTGGGAAACAATAGACATTTTGGTTAATGGTTCATTCCTTCATAAAAATGGATAAAATACAGTAAATTCACGGGAATTATTAGGTGTTAATACCCACGGGCAATTGGTGTCCCTCGGGCCAAAGGCCCTACGGTTGCCATAGGGCTTAAGTCTCGGGCTCCCGTAATCTTATCCTCTCATCCTGAAATATCGACTTATAGTGAAATATCCAGTGGTGGTGGTTTGGTCATTGTCGATTTTGGTGTACGAGTTGCAATACGATATTATACTTCCAAAAAGTTCCGCACGCAGCTGGGTATTTTATAAATGAAAGCAGCCATTTTTTTTTATAACTGCATTCCCTTCATCGATGCCCCGTAGCTTCAGAATCGTTGGCCAGACATTACAGTCTCTTGATTACTACAGCCAGTACAGCCATTATAACTCATGTTACAGGAAAGAACAAAGTTATTTCTGAGATTGATAAAATGTGACCAAAATGTTCGGGGATTTTCATTAATGTTATTTTCAGTTCTAAGTACCTAGATAATTTTCGCACCCATCCCTCACTTCATAGAATATTAAATGGGGAGTGAGACAAAATCAGACTCCTCCACTACATATTCCCAATTTTATTATATGGAGTAGAGTCTTGGATCTTGACCGAACCAACAACGAAAATGCTGGAAGTGGTATTTGAGATATGGACTTATAGAACAATCCTTGCAATCTCCGAGAAAAAGCTCAAGATAAAGTATGTTGATTTTAATTACTCCAGAGGAATATGAGCTGGTGGCTTCCTACATTAGAATGCCAATGGTCACCTAACGTCACACCTGTTGTTGCGATAAGCTCCACCCCCTCGGTTCTCATACGGAAAGCGTAAGATAAAAACGATGAACAACAAAAGAGGAGTCAGGAGAAGACAATAATTCTGGCTAAAGAACTTGAGGACCTGGGACCTACCACAGGACTCTTCAGGGCAGCAACAAATTAAATGATCATTGCCTTGCCAACATTCGGTAAGGTAGGCATCTTGCTCTCCCAACAAAATAATTAATTCTAGGATGTGAACAAGCATGGTACATATACTTACTCAAAATTGTTTTGCATTGAAAAAAACAGTTACCCGAGGAGTTACCTAAATACAAGGTCCAGAATCCAGATTAACGACCAGACAAAAAATCCAAAATCAATTATCAAGTCAGAGCCAGAAGCATGCATGAGGCGTGGGGACGCCACTACAGTTCATGCATATAGCAAATTTGAATTTTATAGACAAAATAGTGTCGCGTAAGAAGTAATGCAATTGGAAATGGAATATGTTTTAATGGTCATTTATTATTATAGATTGAACTACTGTAACTAACCTGGTCAAATCCAGCTTTTGCTAACCGATCTCCAAGAACTTCACCAACTCCAGCTAATTCTGTAACTGCTTTGTCTCCCATAGGCTCCGCTACGAAATTTTTGTGTTTCTGCGATGTGTTTGCCATGTTAAATTATGCTTTCTTTCCAAATTACTTTTATTACTTGCGGGAAACTGCGGAATTCGGGAAATTTCTACACAATAATAGAATAATTTACTCAATTTGAAGCAAGATTTTTTTTTTAGCCGTTGAGTCACGCTCACGTCATAAGTGTCGATTTTTGTCATTCGTCACTTCATGTTGTAGCGATTTCGAATTGAGCGAAATTTGCTCTGTACTGTTTTTTGGAGTAATCGATCGTCGAATGGCTCGAATACACTATCCCGCATTTGCTCCAGGCAGCCTATCGTGAATCGTGATTAATTGCAGTGGGAAAAAGAAAGAGTATAGAGGCTTTTCCACCCCTATCCCTGGGGCCGCATTCCGTTCACGCTAAAATGCAATCGAATTAAGGCGACGTTGCTTGCGACTCTATCAATCAAAACGATTCCGTTCAGCGATTTCACATCAGTCGCTTTCTAGCGGACCATTTTGAGCACCCAATCGAGCTTTTGCGCGCGCAAATGCTTCAAGCACGTGTTCGTGTTCCAGTCGTACTGCGCTTCCAGAGCTGCTAACTTTTGCGTTTCAAACACAGAACACTGTGCTGCACTGTGGTTGAAGCACACAGCTGGAAAGCAGCTATATGCAGGCGACAACCCTTGCTACATCAAAACAGAGCAATCGATTTGACGCGAAAACTAGCTTTTTTCAATCGCAACCCGCAACAGAATTCCTATAGCGACAAAGTCGATTCAATTCTAGTACTAGATAGTGTGAACGGAATACCACCCCAGGACAGCTCGAGTTATTACAACGCCTCGTGCAAGTTTCTTTACTTGACATTCGTTTTCGCGCGATATCAAAGGTCGATATCTAAAGTGTTTTTTTTTTAAAGATAAAAGTCAAAATGACATTATGTTGGCAGATGGATTAGATTGCCTAATACAATGTGAAATTGTGCCTCCAAATTTTTTATGTAGAAAGGCTTGTGTTGCCAACTAGTTATTAAATTTTTGACTTGGGGAATTATTTTTGAAAAAAAAACAGATTTTATTGAAATGTTTAGTTGCACGATAACATCATGGTTCACGGTTCCAAAAGGCAGGGGAGAGGAAAAACAAACAGCACCCGGATTCTGTCGATTCTATTCTGCAAATCGAGTCGAATTGTCTATGATATTCGATATCGAATACGACAGCTCCAGACGTAATTTGATACGAATTTCGACTCGCCTCGTAAAATAGAATTGGTGGCAGTTCAGTTGCGCGAAACTCTGAAGCATTGGAAAGCCTATAAACAGCCCGGGGCGCTCTAGAACAGCTCAGGAGTGCTTAAGGTGCGTCACTGGAAAACCACTATCGGCCTCGTTTTTGGTAGTCGCGGTTATGGCGTCATCCAGGGGGGGTGTGAGTAGATATACTAGGAGAGTTCTGGAGCGGAAGTGACCTGTCATTCGTCGTGGGGCCCGTGCCCGTCATCAGAGAAGTCCCAAATTGAAGGGGCCTCCACCAGGTGGGCCTGTGCCCCATTCCAGGGCCCCATTTTTGTCGTGGGCCCCATTTTTCGTCAAGTGGAGGGGCCTAACCCAAGTGACGTCATCAAAGGGGCCACATGCTTGTCCCCGTTGCTAGACCCGTGGCCCCATTTTTTCGTGGGCCCCATTTTTTAGCAAGCCCCAATTTAAAGAGGCCTAACCTAAGTAGCAAGCCCCCAATTTGAATAGACCTAACCCAATAAGTGACGTCATCAAAGGGGCCATACGTGCTTGTCCCCGCTGCTAGACCCGTGGCCCCATTTTTTTCGGGGGCCCCATTTACATGAACTCATAACCTGAAATGAGATACGAGATGACAGGTACGTGCGACGTTGCCGAAACTGATAATGTGCGACGTTGCCAATAAAATTTCCCTAAATCTAGGGAAAAATCGGAAAGGGGCCACTTGTCTCCGCAGCTAGACCCGCGGCCCCATTATCCATTATCGTATATGAAACCAATACAGGCCCCCAAATTTTGAGGCGCCCGTAGCCTAGAACTCATAACCTGAAATTTGATGTCCCATATCTCGTGCTGGTAATTTGAAATTTGTACAACGTATCTAGAACTCATAACCTGAAATTTGATACCGCGTATCTCGTACCTGGTACCTCGTACCTGGTACCCCGTTACTTGTAACAAGATAAACCGTACTGGGCCCCCTTTTTTCGTCGTCGTCGTCGGCCCCATTTTTCTAAACTAAAATATGGTCACATAAAAGACAACATCATCATCATCATTGAAAAAATAGTGCTCCAATTTGGGCCCCATTTTTCACGGACTTGTAACGATTTAATTGGGGGGCCCCAAATATTATTTTTAAAATAATTATAATTTCTACCGTTCTCATAAACAGCAACAAGAAGAGCAAGTTGTGTGTGAACTTGCTTAATCCTGCTTATCACACGGAAGCCGCATTTCCTGCGACGATAACGAAACGCAGCTGGCTGGCCTGGTAGTTGTTATTCATTTTCAAATTTTAGTTAGATTTTAACGTCCCTAGGTGACACAAAGTTTTTCTTCAGTGCTCATCCAGATTGAATTTTTCAACGAAAACTTAATTCAAAATTGGGCGCTGTCACATTTATAATTGATTGTGTGTATTTAGTGTTAAAACTATGTAAGTAATTTTTTCATTATTCTTAAAGACCCTGATAATAATACGTTGTTCTATTTTTAGTTTAATAATAGAATCATGGATTTACCCCAAATTAACCAAGCAGCCTGTCTTGAGGAAAAGTCCTACTTAAAGCTACAAGATTTGACTCCAGAGCATCCCTATCCAATTCGGGGTATGACTATTGTGAATTCAAAATTTGGAGAAGTAGCCCGAGTAGAAATGGATAAAAACATTACCTTTCTTCCTCAACGTGCAACCGATTCAATTAAACAAAACATTCAGCATTCAGCACTTCGAGGCTGGGAAATTTGGATTGAAATTTAAAGGCATGCGAGATATTAAAGGCCTGAATCCAACACCAATTTTCAAAATTGTTGAATTGTAAGTATACCATATAAATTATTAAATTAATACTAAAAACATTTTCAATTTTTAGAGTTAACGGCATCGAGAAAACGTCAAAACGCATCAACAAGATCAAGACAATGATTCAGGAGGAATTTATTATTTTTTTTGTTGTAGAAATATTGATAATAAAAAACACTTTATATTTTTACATAGGTAGTTGTTTTATTTATGGGATATTTATTGTGGTTTTGGTATAGGAGAAAAAAGAAATAGGCCAGAATAAATTTTTTATTTCAATTTTTTATTTAAGAAAAATATCATACAGGTTATATTTATGTTCTAGAATTAAATCAAGATGATTTTCATTCCAATAAATTTTTCCCATTGTTCGCATATCCACCATAGTCAGACCTTTACTTTCTTCCTCATTCCAATAGCTAACGTAAATGAATTCGCCAATGTAGAAATTTGTATCTTTCCAACCATCGTTTATAGTATCAAAAAAATTCAAAAAAATCTTCAAGTTCATCATAGGTAAATCTTATTGAAGCGCTATCTTTGTGGTGTAAGACGATCTCTTCAGGATTGTAATTGATTCGCACAAAGCCCCCAATATCATAGTCTTGATATAGATTAATTTCCCGACTAGTTGTTGATTCATTTGCAAATACGATATCACATTTCGAATCCATTTTCAAATTTTCAAAATTATTGAACAGTAACTGTTTTTCTTGGTAAAAGTCAAAATCTTTTTTTCAATTTCGAGAGATTTACTAAATAATGTTGAATTCTTTCGGTTAGTTTGCAGCTCATACCCTAGAGAAAGACTAAACTTATTCGACTAAGAGGTCTGTATTTATAGAAAAGAACTTAATTATTTAAAAAAGTTTATTAGGTACTTACACAATATAATTATACAATAAATTCTTAATACTACATGGACTTAAAATAATTTTATGATATTAACAAGCTATTATCCAGCCTGGATCCTACACTGTCCAAAAAATTCTAAATTCGCTCTAGTTAGATAAATTAGGTTTAGTTTAGTATACAATCTAATAATAAAATCTTTTAAATATGTCCTTTAACGTAAACAGAACCTTGAGCATCCAAAACCGCAAACGTTCTACTTTTCTGTTGAATGTTTCATAGTGTCGAATGTTTCATAGTGTCTGTTTAGATCAATGTTCGAACATTACCGGATAAAGGTAAGTATTCAAAAACTCGATCATGTACGATAATACAACAGGCTCGTGTATCTTCCGAAAAATTCTCTGAGCTTTGGAACTCTAATTTGACATCAGTCGTGTTGCTTTTGAGGGATTCGTTCTGTTTTGAGCAGTCTATAACAAATAATGCCCTGTTGGCAAAATTGGGAAGGTCCAGCAATGGTTCACTATTGGTTTTACCCAAATACGTGTTTTGAAATTCGGTATACATCCGGTATGCTTCTGCAAACTGTTTGTCATCGAAATTAAGATTCAGTGATTCATACGGATAAACTTCAGAGTTTAGATACAGCTTGACATCTGTTATATCCAAATTATCGAAAAGAGTAATATCATACCGAGGATTATCTTTTCGTTTTTTCTGGAAAAAGACTATGACATATCTAGCTCTCTCAGACATGGATTTCACAGTCCACACGTCTCGCTTGGATTTTCTCAATGTAGGTAACTCATGAATCTCCCAACTTCTGAATGGAATAAATATGGGTTTGTTGTTCGAAATATCTTCCAATAATTTCAATTTTAAAACATGGTTTGGATAAATGTGCCTCACCCTCAATTCTACTGTGTCTAAAGTAATTTTTGCTGTTTTATCTCCAGTCGTATTGATGTAACAGTTATCATCATTTCTAGCTCTGACAAGTTTTATTTTCTGTCTTCCCATAATAGCCTTATTGTAATCGGAAAAGATATTCAGTAAAACTTTCAAGGGTATTAGAAAATTGAATTTATCCCCCGCTAAAGATTTTAGTGTTCCACTAGGCCAATTCCATCCAGCTCGTTCGAGTGCTCTACTTTCTTGATCATTGAGGCATAGCAGGTTTCTCACTGTGCTGGTAAGCCCCGGATC